AAGATTTTGTCTTGCGTGGATCCACGATCAGTGCTTATGTAAACAACTGTCAAGAGATCAAAAGATGCACTGCATTGGGGTAATCTGCTGTCGAAGACCTCGTTACAGTGTTTAAAGCAAGGAAGTTACTTTCAGGACTAAAGTGTGCCTGACCCAAGCCATGGTCTTTTCTATTGCCTTTTATGCATGTGAGAGTTGGACATTGAATAAGGAAGACCAAAGAAGAATTGATACATTTGAATTGTGGTGCTAGTGAACAATATTGAAAGTATCACAGACTGCCAAAAGAACCAACAGATCTGTCTTGGAAGAAGTATGGACAGCATGCTCCTAGAAGCAAGGATAGCGAGACTTCATCTTATATACTTTGGATGTATTGTCAGGAAAGACCCGTATTTAGAGAAGGACAACATGCTTGGTAAAGTGCAGAGGCAGTGAAAAAGAGGAAGGCCCTTAATGCGATGTATTGACACAGTGGCTGCAACATAGAAACAATTGTGAACAGATGCAGTACTGGGTAGTATTTTATTCTGTTGTGCACAGGGTCACTATGGGTATGAACCGACTGGATGGCACCTAATAACAACAATAATCCTTCAGAAGTTGGCAGCCTATTCCTTCTTCAGTCTGTTCTTAATCTGGAAGTTTCTCTGAAGCCTGTTCATCATGGGTGATGCTGCTGGTATCTAAATACTAGTGACAACTTCCAGCATCAGATCAACGTTCAAACCACCACCATATATGGTACAAGCTACCAGACAACTGGAGGAACACAAATATAGAGGTATCCAAAGAAAAGAAACGTACAACTGTACATGGAACATTTTCCAGAGCCAGAAACCAGACCCAAAACTATACTCTCTACTGTCGGAGTCCAGCTCCGGGAGGGTTGAACTGGATACCTGAAGGAGGTGTGGAGGCGGCGAACACAGACGAGACAGACACGAGAGATGTTCTGGTGGAAGCAATCTCTGCCGAGTCCTTCCAAACAGCTATATTTATACCATAAAACGTTTTGCAGACCACTACATAAAAACAATGCCCTATGATTAACTCCAAAGTCACCCTTATTGTTTCCATTAAAACCTGATAAAAAACCATTATAAGGTCTGTACTTTTTTCTATCACTTTCTGTCCTCTTCCTGGTTCTTTCTTTCTGTACTGCTTGTCTTATAAGTCACAAACTATTCTCGATTGAGATGTTCAGAAAATTTGGTTAGACTCATATCCTACTCACTGCCCTATGTTTTGCTCACAATGTTCCTTTTCTCGTTGACTAACTTAACACAATGAAACTACCTCATATGCTACTTCAAAGCCTAATATCTAAATGCTTCTCAGAGTTAAATATTTTCCTTTACAAACTCTCCCATGGTAACTGTTCCATTGTCTACATATGTCTTTTATTTTTTATACTCCTGAGGCACCATGGGGAGCCAAACCATCTGATTCTTTGCCAAATACTTAATGTTCCCCCTTTTACATGTTTTCTATTAATGTTAACCATTCTCTCTCCTTCTATGTAAGCCCCTGTCCAAGGTATAGGGGCGTCAGTTGGGGGAGGCAGTCTATAAAGTCCTCTTTATCGGGGAGGCCAAAAGAGTCTCCCACTACCTAATCTGAATGGAATCCAGGGTTTTTCGGTGGGTTTCATTTTCTCCTCTGATCTCAACTTTGGGGTTTCTTCCTCACTCAATTCCCACATATCCTTCTCAGAATTCCCAAAGATGTCTCGCTGTCTAAGCCTCTCCTGTGGGGTTAAAGGGGAGAGGGAACCCCACAAAACATCACAGGTCTGGTAGGCGCAATTGTACAGCAATAATAAGTAAAGATTATAGTAAAGTCATAGAGAGCATGAGAATTAAAAGATGGAGTCAAGTCATAGAACCAGAGCCCTGGAGCTGGAGGATCCACGTGGAGACACAAGCCCATGCTGAGATGCTTCCACTACCACTGGATCCACTAGACTTTCCACCCACTGGCCTGTGATCTTCCTAAATTTGGTGTCATTGCATGTATTGCGTGAATATGAAGAGGAATTTATAGTATTGGACATATGGGCTAATATCGGACTTAGGGACTTGATCTGGACTGGGATATATAATTACTCTTTATAAAAAGCTCTTTCTTATACACAAGTATGTATGAATTTGGTTCTCTAGTAAACCCAGACTAATATAGTCATTATAACTTGTTAACTTCCGTAATAAACCTTTTAATCATGAAAACAAAAAAAAAACATCCTTAATATCTTCAATTAGAAAAAGTGTAACAAAATAAGTGTTTTCTTACTTTTATTATCAACAAACAAGGTGAATACCTTCCAATGGATAAAAAAACATTCCACAATTGTTAACTTAGAATTTGAGCTAGAACATACTGTTTACAATATTTTAAATATAAATTTTTGAGTTCAAAACTCAAAAGCATATAAAGATCTATTGAAAAGTCTGATTTCTACTCCATCTCGTATCTTTAAAATTCCTCCTCCAGAGGAAAAGCAATTATCATTAAATCTTGTGGCCTTCTACTTATAATGCTTATAAAAGCACTCTAGATTTTTCTCCTTTTGTTTATAGTTGGTGGCACTCTATGTTATTTTCTGCATCTTGCTTTTCCCCCATTAACAGTCTTAGAAAATTTTTCTATTATTGTTTGTGTACACACACACACACACACACACACACACACACACACACACACACACACATGCTTGGTCATTCAAAACCACCAGCACTTGTCGGGAGAAAGACTAGGCTTTCTATTCCTGTAAAGTTACAGTCTCAGAAACTCACAGGGATTCTCCATGAGTCAGTATTGACTCAATGGCAATGTGGGTTTTTGGTATATATTTTGGTATAAATATTTTAAAGTGTTCTCATACATTTTTAGCAACAAAATATTCCACTAGTGGTGTTGTGATCTTTTTTTTCTCAAGTTATTTGGGCCAGGGTTCTCAGTAGTTTGGCAAGAATCTCCCATAATGTGATCTAACACACTGTAATCAATTCCATGATTGGATGTAGCATAATGTAATCAATAAAAACGCTGAAAGCTAGCAGTTGTGATGGAATGCAGTCTCCTTGATGGAATTGGAATAAAGACTCCTCGGAGCTGCGGCTTGCTCCTTTGTGGAAACGTTTCACTTTATCCTGTATCTGGTTTATCAACCTGCTACCATATTACCTGCCAATCCCAGGAGCCATCAATTGCCGACCGACCTAGGACTCATTTTAAACTTTCTTGATATAAATTTTTTTTTCTGTATAAACACTTGTGTCATTGGTTCCTTATCCAGAGAACCCAGCCCAACAGGTGTTGTAAGCAAGACTTGTGAGACATTTTGTTTTTAAATCAGTCACATGTATTTATAATCATTTTGTTATACACTTATTATTGTATATTTTGACTGTTTAAGGGTTCCACAAGAGTTTGGAATATTAATTTACTATTTGAACCTTGCTTGGAGTCATCCTGACCCCATTGAATTGCTTCCTTGGTCATTGAGTTAGATTGATAAGGAGTGGTTAGTTGTAAAGATATCGAAATAATAGACGAAAGAATTCTTAGTGTGCTTAATTTTTTGGTAGCCTGTCATGTATTTTACAAATTATAAGTCACGTGCATACAGTATGTAATTAATATTGTTAGAAGAAATCAGTGTATAACTTGGAACATTGGAATCATTTGAGCACCCACCTACCAGACTTTGTTACCATTGATGTTCCACTGGTTAGCCTCCTAATACATTTTTTTCCCTTTCTCTGTTCTTAATTACACTCAATCGCCCCAGTGCAGAACCCAATATTTGGAGTAACAAGAATTTACTCAGTCATCTAGTTTTTGACATTTATTCTGTTTCCAATCTCCTGTTATCCTAGCACAATAGAACGGATAACGTTGTACATGTCATTTTACATGTGTGTAATGGATAAGCTTCTCAAAGTAGGATGGATAGATCTGGGGGAATATATTTTAACTTATAGTTAAAATTCATAATTTTAATCAACATTGCAAAAAGTGCCCATTCTCCACAAGCTGGCCAATGGAGTGTTAAACCTGGGCTCTCTAGCCTTTTGCTACGTGGTAAATTATAGAATTATTTTCTTACTGTGTGTGAGGCTGAGCAACTTTTCTGGAGTCTAAAAGCTATTTGTATCTTTTTCTGTGAAATAACATCTTTTGGTATGTGCTTGGCTAAATTTCTCAGGGTGCATTTAGTGGCGGCAGGAACTGAATCCAATTCCTCCCATCGTTTCCTCCTCCTAAGCCCGTAGTAGAGGGCTTCATGGAGGGTTTGCATTTCTAAATGCTGTTATTACAGTCGCCACCTGACCTCCCCGAAAGGACGGCCCAACCTCGCAAACAATGCAGCAATCAATGCGGCATCTCTCGAGCTGTGTCGCTGGTGAACAAGTGGGACCTGCTCATTGCTGACACCCGCCCGTCCAGTCCCAGGCGGCGGGCCTCCAGCGCCGCTCCTGCCCCTTTTCCGCTCGGGCGCGCG